AAAACAAAACAAATTGAACTGGGCTCTTTTAAGAGCCCAGAAGATTAGAATTTAAATGTTTTGATTTTCTTTGTCTTTTTTTTTTTTTAACACACTATCAGCCTATTGAGAAATTATTCCAGATTTACAAACTGAATAATAATAAAATTATATGACTGCTTTTCAAACTAAGAAAACTAGGTTTGCAGACCCTAAAATTGAGCTACTGTTTGCCCCAGCAATCCCATTATTGAGTATATACCCAAAGTAAAATAAACAGTTCTATCAAAAGACACATGCACTCACATGTTCATCACAGCACTATTCACAATAGGAAAGACATGGAATCAACCTAGGTGCCCAATAACAGTGGACTGGGTAAAGAAAACGTGGTATATATACACCATGGAATACTAAACAGCCATAAAAAGAAAGAAATTATGTCCTTTGCATTGACGTAGATGCAGCTGGAGCCCATTATCCTAAGCAAATTAATGCAAAAACAGAAAGGCAAATACTATGAGTGGGAGCTAAACATTGATTACACATGGACATAAAGATGGGAACAACAGATACTAAGGATTACTCGGGGGAGGACATGGGCTGAAAAACTATTGGGCATTATGCTCACTACCTGAGTCACAGGATCATTTGCACCCCAAATCTCTGCATCATGCAATACACTCATGTAACAAACCTGCACAAACCTGAATCCAAAATAGAATTTGCAAAAAATAAATAATAAAATTTGGTTTTCTCTTTAGATCTTTCTGGTGAAAGATTCAGGTAATCAGAGTTGTCCTTGGATGAAGACATCCCCAAAATGTGTTTGATAGTTCTTCAAGGAGCATATCTCTCCCCCTCCTTCTATATTATATTATATTATACTATATTATATTACATTACATTATATTTTTTGAGACAGAGTATTACTCTGTTGCCCAGGCTGGAGTACAGTGCTGCGATCCTGGCTCATTGCAACCTCTGCCTCCTGGGTTCAAACAATTCTTGTGCCTCAGCCTCCTGACGTAGCTGGGACTACAGGCATGCACCACCATGACCAGCTAATTTTTATAATTTTAGTAGAGACGGGGTTTCACCATGTTGGCCATGCTGGTCTCAAACTCCTGGCCTCAAGCAATCTGCCTGCCTTGGCCTCCCAAAGTGCTGAGATAACAGGCGTGAGCCACGGCACCTGGCCCTTCTTTACTATTTTATTTTTACCTCCATGCAAATGTAAGAACTTTTGTTATTTATCTGATATTTAACAGTGAGCATTGATAGAAAGACTTTTGAGCAGGTGAAAATCACTGACTGAAAATGGAAAGTTAACATGTGAAATGGAAATTAGCAAGGTAACAGCAGTAGCAAAAAAGATATAAATAAGAATGGTTTCAACACTTGTTATGTCTTCACATTTTTTGAATCCTTACTAGTCTTCACCGATCCACATAAACTCCTGAAGAAGCCTAGAAATAAAGGATAGGACGCTACTCACACTCCTTCTTCCACTCCAATAATGGGAGAGAAGAAAAGAAAAGAAAAAAATACCTTAGACAATTAGTCACAAAGGAATTGACCATTTTTTTTAGAGAAGATGACCCCATTTCCTATAAATTTTTTAAAAAGGAAACTTTCTTCACTATTAATGGAAAGTTACAGCCACTTAAGGAACTTAAAATTTTGAATATATCATTTGGGAGAACTTTAATGAGTAGGAATGTCTTACTCATTGTTCCATGAGCTTGCTATTAATAGCTATAATTCAAGTGCATCACAAAGGTTTCAAGGATGCTCATCCACTGGGAGTTAGGTCCTATTTTTCTTGTACACTGAAACAGGTAATTAATTAATAGCCTGGAGGACATGAGGTAAAAGATACAAAACATTATTTGAAATTTTTAATTTTTATTACTCTGCCCATCCTAGCATTCTCAACCTTTCTCATTTTCTTCAGTCACTCATAATTAGTAATTCTGAACTCCTTGCGGAACAGCTGACAGTCTCTTAGGAAGGGTCTTACAGGAAGGAGAGTGGAGTTAGTAGAACCAGACTTTGAATATCACCCTTTTGGGACAGCAAAGTGTCCCAGGTACCAGCCCATTATGTGCAACTCCTGATAACCTGAGCAGAAGGAAACAACTGGAACCCATGAGTTAATGGGTGCAGCACACCAACATGGCACATGTATACACGTGTCACAAACCTGCACGTTGTGCACATGTACCCTAGAACTTAAAGTATAATAAAAAATAAATAAATAAATAAAGTTGTGATAAATTCTCTTTACAATGGAGGGTCAACAAAAGAAAAAACAAGCCCATAAACTTTCCTCAGACAGAATGTAAAGTGATGCAAGACTCGCCTCAACCAGTTCTACGGTATCATTTAGCTGAGGGAGGATAATATAGACCTGTTTTCAAAGGTTGGTGAAGAGCCAGCTCAGTCCCATGGTTAGAGTTCATATTCTATAACCCTCAGGTGTTTCGTTTAGTTCAATAAATTTACTGAAGGCCAATTATGTGTTGATAACCAGAGCTGATACAGTAAATAAGATACAGTTCCTTTCTGCTAAGAGCTTGGCAGTTGATCACCTGATGAGCTGAGTCTTGAATTCTTCCCAACGTGACTGTCAATGAACCATGTTCACTTGGAGCCTTTCGCTTCTGAATGTGAAATAGATGCAGTTTCTTACTTGACTAATTATATGTCTTATTCCTCTTTTTGGGTTATTTGTTGTCTGGGGGTGGGGCAGTTATCGAATGTTTATTCTAAGTATGTGCATTCATTTATTGCCATTCTACGTAAGCATACTTTCTTTTCATGCCTCTCATCCTTAAGATTTTATCCTTGGCTTTTTCCAAATCTCATTCTGCTGGTAATTTCTTTCTCCCTTTCTCTTGGGTTTTGACGTATGTCTCTCTTTCTCCCTTTTTGTTGTTAACAGTAAACATATTTGAAGGCAGGAGGGCCTAATTGCAAAGCTAAAATTAAGGTTAAAAAATTAAAATATTTAACAGACATTAAGTACAAACTAAATGAAATATTTTGTTGATAGAATGGGGTGGGGAGATTTTGATAGTTAACTTTCACCTGTAAAGATATATCTCTTTTTAGAAAATCTGAAGTTTGCTTCAGATTTAGAAAATATAAGCATGTTTAATTGTTAGAACCATTCATTTTTGCTATCTTTCGAACCTCTGGCTTTTATTTTTAATTTTAGAGTCACACACACACACACTTACACTACACATGCACAACTTTGTTGTATAAAGGAAACATCTCTTCAATGCCTGTGAAATAAAATACCAATTCTGAGTCCACCTCTTCAACATTTCTCTCCCTTCCTCCCTGACCCTGTCTGCTTCCATTTAATTGTTTTTTTACCACTCTGTACTTCCGGTGACACCCATGTGCATGATCTTTCCCCACTGCTACACTCTTCTGAAGCCTACCTTGCCTTTAACATCGATCTCTTTCTTGGATTGTATGAAACATTTTGACATTTGAGCAGAATAATAGTTAACAATAACAATGGCAACCATTTGCCTTGCTCTGCACTAGACACCACGATGCATTATCTTATTTTGTCCTCCTGATAGCCTTATAAGGGCGAGGAAATATAGGTTTAAAAACTTGCTCAAATTCACAAACTAGCAAATGTAGAAGTAGAATTGGATCTAAAGTTTACAGAACCCCAAGTTGCATGTTCCAAACCTAAAGAAAGAATCTCTGCAATAAACTGAAGGTGTAAAGACTTCTAGGTGAGAAGTAAGGGGAGAATTAATGGAAATTGGGAGGAGGGAAAAGTGGTAGAAAAAGTATAGTGATGGAATTGACAATACTTGATATTTAGTTGAATATGAAATCAGAGAAAGCAGTTAAACGAAACACCATTGTTAGTTGCCTTGGTAACTAGGACAATGGGAGTTCTGTCCAAAGCCATCACCTTCATTGCTGGAATCTGAGCCAAGGAGAATACAGACATTTATTTTGAAATAATAGCTTAAGTATAACCTATGGCATTATTCCTCTGAGTAATGGAGGTTTGTCCCTGGCAGCCCTTCTGCCATGAATATTCAGATCTAAGCCTGATCTTATTTCTAAGGGCAGCAGAGGGCAGACACTGCCGAGACCAAAGAAAGCAATGGTCGGCTTTGAATTTCAACATAGGTATTTTTGAAGTCTATGGTGAGATGATAATCTCAAAAGAAGTCTTTTTTATTATTATTATTTGTAAGATCCTGGCTTAATGATCACTAAACTGGTTTTTCCAGAATTTCCAAATCTAGGCTTTGAATATTAAGTCATATACAGAGGACTAAAGCACAACCTCCACAACAGAGGTTGCAGTTGTGGAGGTTGCTCAAGCAGTCTTCCCACCTTAGCCTCCCAAGTAGCTGGCACTTATAGGTGCCTGTCACCACAACTGGCTAAGTTTTGTATTTCTTGTAAAGGTGGGGTTTCACCATGATGCCCAGGCTGGTCTCGAATTCCTTGGTTCTCCCTCCTAGGCCTCCCCAAAGGCATGAAGATTTAATATAACTACACATTAGGGAAGGATACGGCTATGACATAAGTGACAGCAATTCCTATGAGGGAGGTAAAGGAAATAAAAGTCCTTTCTATATCTAAGGGGAGGAGTTGAGTCTGGTGGGAGAGGAGAATGAGAAGAAGGACAGAGAGAGCATGTGAGCATGATGAAGCGTGAAGACAAGAACAAAAGCTGACCAATTTGGGGAGTCTAGTCCATGCTCTACTGCTGTCTTACAAAGGTGAAGAGGGACTTATTGATGATAGTCACAGTGGTAGAAGAACCCCAATCGCTTTGGAATAACCCCAAAGCCAGAGGATTTGCTCCTTCTTTCCTATGGCATGGCCCCTTCAGGAATACTTGCATTTAGCATCATTCTAGAGCAACACGGCAACCTGGAAATATAGCAGTGGATGACTAAACATTAAGCCAATGTTAAAGAAGGGGTTTAAGTATATGGGCCTGAGATACTATTCTTGATTTCCAGGGCCTATATTTGGAGTGCAAGAGTTCTTGAAGTTTCTGCATGCCCTGGAAGTAATGTGGATGTGGTAAGAGAACTGGAAGAGACCAGAGATCAGGAAGCAGAGGCTGAAGAGTGAGCAGAACACCAGCACTAGAGGCCACAGCTAAGAGCTCAGCAGGGGAGAAGTATAGAACCTGAGAGAATAGATGAACTCAGCAGTGCCTTGTGGTATGAACACAGGCTCAGCATGTTTGTGACCAAATGGGTGCAACCAGACCACAGCAGGGGTCACCAGGACAGGGGAGGGTGGCAGACCAGGTGCTACTTCATGCAGCTGGTCACTGAGCCTGCTTGAGACATTAAATCTGAGAAGACAAGTAGAAAGAAGAAAAAGGTGAAGACTGTATGTATTCAATAGGCACTTATTTAACCAGGGAAATGAGTATAGAATTTAATTGGAAAAACTAATAAATGTAAAATGGCAAGCAAAAGAGGCAGAAGGCCCTGTGAGGTGGTCCTAATGAGTCAGTCCAGTTAAGTTACAGAGAAATAAATTTACAGTTTTCTGAATCAGAATCACAGTGGGTCCACTTTGACCTCTCCACTCTAGATTGCCTCAAACCAACTCTGTATTTCATGGTGTGGTACCCAGATTTTTGTTGTTAACAATAGGGACTATCTGGAAGTTTCCTATTTTAACTGTTTTTTTAATTGATGTGGAATTTAACTTAGATGTTAAGTTCCAAAATTAATAAAACTTCATTCACTAACACCTGTGTGCTTTATAAATGTGGATCCTTGGGGCAAAGCTCCACTTGCTCCATCATAATTACATGGGCAGAAATAGGGAATATAAAATGAGAAAAAAGGCTGGGAAGGCAACCTGATAAATTTTTTAAAAATAAAATTTTTATTTTAGAATAGTTTTTGAGTTACAGAAAAATAGTAATGGTAGTACAGAAAGCTTTCTTATACCCTACACCCAGTTCCTTTGTTATTAAAGTCTTATATTAGTGTGGTGCATTTCTTACAAAATTAATGAACCAATATTAATACATTGTAATTAGCTGAAGTTCATACTTTACTCATATTGTCTTAATTTTCATTTAGCATACCTTTTTTCTGCTCCAGAATCCCACCTAAGATAGTGGGTTATGTTTAATTGTCATGTCTTCTTAGTTTCCTCTCAGCTGTGACAGTTTTTCAGACTCTCCTTGTTTTCAAAGACCTTGTCAGTGTTGAGGAGTACTGGTCAGGTATTTTGTAGAAAATCCTTCAACTGGAATTTGTCTCACATTTTTCTCATGATTAGTCTGGGTAAGGGTTTCTGGAGATCACAGGGCAGTAAGGGTACCATGTTCATCACAGAATAGTAAGGGTATATGTGTCAATATGACTTATCATGACTTATCACTGTTGGTGTTGATCTTGGTCACCAGGCTGTGGCAGGGTTTGTCAGGATTCTCCACATAAAGTTACACTCCCCCCAACTTTATTCTACTGTGCTCTTTGGAAGGAAGTCTCTATGCACAGCCTGCACTTAAGAAATGGGGAATTATGCACCACTTCCTTGGGGGTGACGTTTGTACATAAAATGAGTTCATTTTTGACACACACAGTTTGAGAAGTCTTGGAAATACATAGTGGAAGCTCTCTGTGGGTGTTTAATATGCAAAATTATTGTTCCACAGAGAAATCAGGACAGGGATGGAGAAAGAGAGAGTAGAAAACAAGAGCATCCGAGAAATATAATATTCAGCAGTACCTAGATGAGGCACCTGAAGGAGAGAGGTGAAGGGAGAAATCTGTGGGGAAAATGGGACAACTGGTAATGAAGTATCCAGGAAGCCAAGGGAAAACAAACTCAAAAGGGGAGGACAGCTAGTTATGCAAAATGTTATAAATAAAAAAAATAAAACCCAGAAAACTAAATAAATTTATGCATTTGGTAACTAATAGGTTAATCATTGTCTTTTATTATTTATTAGTTGTGTGCCCCTATCAATTAATAAAAACGGGAGCATACTCTTTTGAGCTTATGCCATTATCAACTCTTAGCTATTCCCAAGGTTGGCATGCCCATCCCCCCATTAAACTCTGGTCATGTTTTATCCTGGCTTTACAATGAATTATTTGTTATTGTCATTACAAATCGGAACTTTCTGGTATCCAATGGAATAAGGGCATTCCTGCTGTAGAGAAATGACAGGATGTTTTTGCAATCTTGAGTGACCTTTATTGAAGTTTAGAGATACTTGAGAAAAACAATAGAATGAGGAAAATGCAGAGGTATAGCCAGCATCATACATTTTGAGAGTGGTCCTTGGGAACTCTGCATACAAATACCACACACACCAGCAGAAAGAAAAACAAGTGCAGTGGAAAAGGCAATGGAATGGAGTGTGGAATGTACTCTAGCCCTACCCGCATTTGTCTTCACGCTGCACAGTCTGTGGAGACTCTTCCCTTCTTTGGATTTGCTGCCTCATCCATAAAGTGAGCAGACTGGGATACCCTGTCCCTATAGTTCTGTTCATTACAGTACATGATCTGAGGTGTTTATTTTGCTGCTGTTGTTGTTGTTGTTTTATTTGTTTGTTTGTTTTTGAGACGGAGTCTCGCTCTGTCGCCAGGCCGGAGTGCAGTGGCGCAATCTTGGCTCACTGCAAGCTCCACCTCCCGGGTTCAAGCGATTCTCCTGCCTCAACCTCCCCAGTAGCTGGGACTACTGGCGCCCACCACCGCACCCAGCTAATTTTTATATTTTTAGTAGAGTGGGGTTTTCACCATGTTGGCCAGGATGATCTTGATCTCTTGAAATCTGAAATGTATTTGATTTGGTATTGGTTAAACCTGAGATGTAAATGTTCTATTCAATATATCATTAAGCATTTTCTTCTTGAACTAAATACTTCTTCCTTATTTTCCTTTTATTTGATTTTTATTTACTAGCAGCCCAATACCGTTGAACTAACTACTTTTTAGCAAAAGGAGAAAAGCACATTTATACTTCTGTAAAGTTTCTTTCTTTATCTAGTCAATATTATACTGAGAGCCTCAAGTCTTTGGAAAACATTTCACAGAGACTCACATTAGAATTTGACTCTTTTAAGGCACAGTAGAAGCTATGAATTCTAAGCCAAATATTTGTGATCACACATAAAACCAAAACCAAAAGGAAATTAAATGTTTTAGGGCCTTGTTTTCTAAGGCCTGCTCTTGGATTGATAGTTGGTAGCTGAAGGGAAGGGCAATCCTGGAAATGAAAACTGTCATTGGGAAGAATAATTTAGGCCTTTAACATATACATTTGTATAAGAAGCATTCTGTAGAATTCTGATAAATGTAATGTGTGTAAATCACCCACTGCTATCTTGGCTTATGGTAATCACTCAGTATTCTCAGCATTTAACAAAATAAGGTTTAGCTTTCATTGGGCCCTTATTAACTAAATTAGCTATGATCAGCCAAAGTATTTTTCTTTTTCTTTCAGTGGAATGTTAAGGCACCAGTGATTTTTTTTCAATCTGTGGGTTTTCAGGAGAACTATGTACAAGTTTTTGTAATTTGGGGTGATTTTTTAAATTTACTAGTGAAGATAATATTTATAGGGAACATGTGCTTTGAAATTTAGCTTTCTTTTACAGAAATTGTACTGTGGAGAAAGATTTCCTTCAAAGTTGATTTCAACAACCCCAATTCTGTGAAAACTACCTTGCCTGTTCTGGATAGAAACTTGATTTCTACCCAGTTTATCGGGTGTTAGAAAGAAACAAGTCCAGACAGACGCTTATGACATGCTGTACTTACTTGTTTTCAGGTCTCTATCCCATAGACTGGAACTCGTGCGTCCCGGGAAAAGATATTGTGTCTTCAGCTGGCACCTTACTTATAAGGTGCTCAACATATATTAAAATAACAAACTTCAGCTTCCAAATATAAGGATAAAACCAATTCTAAAATCCACATTTTAAGGGGACATTGGGTGGGAGTGGTGGATAGTGTTTGTGGTTAAACATTCTCCAAATCTCCTTCACCACCACAACCACCGCAAGTAAAATCTGTGTACAGGTAAACAAAGCTTCAAGGGAAGTCTGTTTGCCCCTCCTTCCTCCCAGATGGTCTTAGACTCCTCCCACATGGCAATTTTGGAGCTGACACTGCAGAGTTTTATTTGGAGGCTTCATGTTTCTAGCAAGTGTTCCATTTATGTTGACTTTTTATTCATAAGCTTTGAGAATATCTATTCCTAGAGCCTACATTCATTCTATTTTTCAAAAACAAATACACTAGCATTCCTGCATACTTACTGTTTTATCCCCTTTAGAGGTGAGCCCCTTATACACTAGAAGCAGCAATTTTATTCCATTTTATGCCAGCCCTGTTCATTCTGTAAGCTAGTATGATGCTTTTTTTTTTTTTTTTTTTTTTTTTTTTCATACTGAAAGCTCAATAACCAGTTTGAGATAAACCTATATGCACACACAACCTACTGGAATTCTAACCTCATTGCTTTATAGAAAATAAATTCCTCAAACTGCTCTGGGTTATTTAGTGGCCAGTGAACACTATGATCTATACTGATCATCTGAAGAAACTTCTGTGTGTAGATATCAATAAAATACGTGTCAAGAATGGAATTCAGACTATATTTTTCACGTTGTCTCAGGAACACACAATTCTGCCAAAATGAGTAAGTGAATATATGAATGAATGATTAAAACCTTATAAAGTATAATTGTATTATATTGAGCATCCAGTATACACAGTAACCAAGCTAGGCATTTCTTTTACATTTTTTTTTTTTTTTTTTTTGGATACGGAGTCTAGCTCTGTTGCCCAGACTGGAGTGCAGTGGCACGATCTCAGCTCACTGCAACCTCCACCTCCCAGGTTCAAGCAATGCTGTTGCCTTGGCCTCCTGAGTAGCCAGGACTACAGGTGTGTGCCACCACGCCCAGCTAACTTTTGTGTTCTTAGTAGAGACGAGGTTTCACCATGTTGGCCAGGCTGGTCTGGAACTCTTGACCTCAAGTGATACAGCCGCCTCAGTCTCCCAAAGTGCTTGGATTATAGGTGTGAGTCACCACACCCCACTTCAAGCTAAGCATTTTATACTCATTATTTCTGATCCTTTAAATAACTCTTTATTGGTACTCCCATTTGTAGATGAAGAGACTCAGAGAAGTTATATAACTTTCCTTCAACTAGTAAATGGCAGACCTAGGTTTAGAATACATGAACTGCAAAATCCTCATTCTTTTCATTACATAACTAGTTTCCTAAGATGAAGGTTGTCACTGGTTCCCATGACTAAAACCTTACAGCAGATATCTAACAATTTTCCCAAAGGATTATTTTAATAGTGACTTGTCAATATCACATTAACTCCATAAATTATCATTATGACTGTTTGATTGCTGTTCAAGGTGACAGGTTCTTTTCTCTCCAATGTTAATGTATTCCTTAGCGATAATGTCTGTAGACTGTAGACAAACTCCTGTGCCCTTGTACTTCCCATCTGATAAACAGTAGTGTGGCAAAAAGCCTTCAAACACACACAGTGCATCTTGTCATTGAGATTTTTAAGAACATTTGAAGGTAACAAACATAAAAATAAGATAGAGAATATAACATTAGCATGAATCATAAGATACATCTCATGATTTCAGAGACGTGGCCTGTGTATCTCCTTTATTTCAGAACACTTGGCAGGCATCCATTCATTCTCTTTTGACTTCTTGAGAGGAACATGTTTGAAGCATTTGCC